CAGCTTAACGGTACTACCCTCTCCAATGTTGCCACTTTCGGGATCTCAGTTCCCACCTGTCCACCCCCGCTGACATCGATGATGAGATTCAACATGTTGAATCGGATCTGCCTTTGGCAGACTCCGCACCCGTGTCTTCAGCTGTAGGGAGCTGAAATTATCTACAAAGTTGCACGTATATCGAGCGGTAGTCCTCCCCACCCTGGTATATCGCAGCAAGACATGGGTCACATACAGGAGGCACCTCAAGGCACTTGAAAACTTTCACCAATGTAGTCTACGTTGCATCCTCCCGCACTAGATGTAGCCCTCCACACGTACAACATCTGTGGATGACCCTGCTGGTCCGTATCGGCCTCTTTAGTCACCTTAGAGCTCGCCAACGAAGGTGACATTCTTAATAACTCACAAGGAAGTCTATGTGCTGTATGGAATGATGAGATATATATGTAGCCTCGTGTTTCCTAGTTGGATTCGGTAAAATGTTACTTCGACCACATAGTTGGCACGGGCAATCCCCAATGGAGGTTCACGTTGCTTAACAAAGACAAATGAACAGGCTTTGTGTGGAATAAAGCAAAGCTTAGAATTGCTTTTGTTGTCCTTGTAGTATAGTGGTAGTAATCCCTATTGACACTCAGAGGTCCAGGGTTCAATTCCCAACTAGTGATATCTCCATTAGCCAGAACAATTGGTGCAGAGCACTTCCGGAAATGAGAGATTTCCGGGTAAGGAGGTGACTCTCAAAGCCGGAAAAAAATCCGTCATCCCCCGAAATTTTCCGGCTAACGGAAAATTTTTCTCGGAAGCTCCAAAAATTGCCCATTACATCATCTTTTGAACCCAGAAAATTATCCCCCATCCCCAGAATTTTCTGGGTAACAGAAAAATGTACTTGGAAGTTCCAGAAATTGCACATTACATCATATATCAAACACGGGAAAAAATCCCCGATCCCCGAAATTTTCTGGGTATTGGCAAAATTTCCTCAGAATTTTTCTGGAAAATATGCCCCTCGGAAAATCGTTTCCAAAGCCAGAATTTTCCGTAAAATTCCAGCTTTGGGAACGATTTTCCGAGAAAATTTCAATTCCGGCTATGAGAGAGTTGCGGGTTTGAGGGATTCCAGCTAACAGAGATATTACTTATACAGGTAACTCGCGTTTTACGGGCATTTGATTTAAGCGTTTTTGGAATAACGTGATTGTTCAATTAATACCAAAAGCTAATTTACGCGCACCTATTTTTTAATAACGCGCTCAAGACAGTTTAAATTTACCGCGCGTATTCGCCTGGTAGCCTGGCAGTGGAGTCGCGTGTGATGCCTGGTGAGGTGCTTGTAAGTTATTACTATAAAGTTGCAGTCATATCAACATCAACAATTTCAATATTATTAATAATAATGATAATTAATTATTATAATACAGTCAGTTCTGCTATAACGCGATAGTTGTGTTCTTGTAAAACATCGTGTTATAGAAATTCGCGCAATAGAAATAACAGGGCTTATGGAGAAAATAGGGTTAGGTGCAGATTACTCGAAATCGAAAAAAAATTTAGTAGTTAGCCTAACACAATGGATAGCACAGTCTAAATAAATGTTACATTCATATCTAATAATGAAATCATACAGTAAATGTAACACTTTACCTTGAAAAAATATGAATATAACTTGATGGGGGACAAGAGTGATTTTGAGGTTGATAACATCGAGCTTCTCCAAGTGTTATAGCCTTTCTTTTACGATCATCACCGGGAATGCGATCACCAGAACGCTTCTTGGAGATATTCTTCTTTACCATATTCACAGTTAATACCACAAAATTGGAGAAATAGAAAGCAAAAATCGCGTTACAGCAAACAAGCCTTCGCGTTTTACAAATATCGTTCCTCTATTCATAAATCGCGTTAGAGCCAATTCGCGTTGTCAAAACACGCGTTATAGCAGAACTCACTGTATTGTAATAATAAAGATTATTACAACTAATGATGAAGATAATGATGATAATAAAGTATTCTGTACAACAACTGTGACGACGTCCAACAAGCTTCCCGCATATCACTTTCTCAGTTCACACCAGCACAACTTTATCTCTGTGCTCTCATTTGCATTGTATGTTTATCACTTACCCTTTAAGTATTAAACGCTGTCTCCCCCATTGAGCATGTCTGGAAAATGTCCATCTGCCTCCTCTGGGGCGCCTCAGGCTAAAAAGCCACAAAAAAATCGGAATGGACGTGAAATTAATTGTGATCACCCGCCTTCAGAGAGGAGAGCATGTGTCGGAGGTTGGCCGCGTGCTTGGTTTAAGTGAGAGCACTGTTCGTACCCTGTATAGTATATTATGGTTCCTCTAACCTGTACCATTTACATGTATTCTTATGGGAAAAGTTTGTTTAATTTATGCATTTTTTAATTAAGCGGTGGTTACAAGAATGTAACCCCCTCGGAAAATGAGAGGTGGGTGTATATATAACCTCTAAAGCCCAGACTTACTGGCACCAGATGGCTTAAACTCACGCACCAGCAGTTTTGAGATGCGAACACCACATGACACATCGGAATTGAAATACGAATCCTACTAAGCAACAAATATACAGTAGACTCGCAACTTACGTGTATTTTTCTTATGCGGTTTCAACTGTACACGGCTTACCCTGGGGTTAGGTTACGCTTTCCAATTACAAACTCAAAATTTTCATAATCTTTGTAAATTATATTATCCCAGGTCAGTTCAGTGACATTTCATAAGCAAAAAACAAAAACTCACCCTAAAGGAAATAAATAAACAAATAAATACCCACAAGACCTTTGGCACCAGCTGTTACAATACATCACCTCCCCTCCCCTCCCCTCCCCTCCCCTCCCCTCCCAGCCAGGGTCTGGTGGTTTTAGGTTTAAAGTTTTTATCTTATATAATATCACAGACTAAAGTTAGGAGAATATAATTGGCATTGGCATCCTTATAAGACAGTGAATAATTTGAATATAAACATCATATATTTTGCACAAGAGATAAAAATTAATCACCTGTATCACATTACAGTAGTGATTTATGAGTTCTAGTGTATATGTATGTATATATACAGCTCCTCCCCGACTTACGACCTACTCGACTTACGACCACCTGCACTTACGACCTGCCTCAGTCGTACCAAAATTTTGTCCAATTACTTATTTTGAGTCCCAATGTCTGTATACTGACAAAATTTTCGTTTGTAATTCACTTTAAAATGGTTGGCAAGCTTAAAAGTGAGAGTTTTGTGGTGCTGAGAAGAAAATGAGACACCCATTTTAAATTTTCTATGTATTATTTAATAAGTTTCGACTTACGACCTGGATTTGGGTCCCTAACCCTGTTGTAAGTCGGGGAGGAGCTGTATATAGTGATTTAAGGCCGATTTAGGAGCTTTTTTGGAGTGTTTGTGACTTTATGCATTTTTTGGCTTTACGCGAGGTCCCAGGAACATAACCCTCACGTAAGTTGCGAGTTTACTGTATTGTATTCAGGATAGGGGCCCTGTGGAGCCACACAGACTGCACATAGCTGAATAGCCCTGAGAATTATGGCAACAACAACTAATTTTATTTAAACAGTCCCAGCTAAGCAGTTTTACCCCCTCCCCCCCCGCCACACACACACACACACACACACACACACACACACACACACACACACACACACACACACACACATTCGCTTTTTACGGACTTTTGCATTTTTCTAACTGGAGTCTGCTCCAATTAGTACAGTGGTCCCTCAATTAACGAGCACAATTGGTTCCATAGAGTCAGTCGTTAACTGATAATCTCGTTAACTGAATCTATTATTTCAATGCGATATTGGGTAATTGGTTCCAACTCACAGAATTCCCTTAAAACTAATTAAAAAGTACATACAAAGTGCTGTATATCAGTAATAGAATTAACAATATGTATTTAGGATGGTGTGTGCATGTAAATGAGTAAAAATATATGAAGAAAGTTACATATATCTACCCCAAAATACGAGTTGAAAGACGTGTACTTAAATGTACTACTGTACACTATAGGACTAAAATTTTTATATCTTGTGCAAAATAAATTTGCTGTCTTACAAGAATTCCAGCAATTCAAGCTATATTCTGCTAATTTTAGTTTGTGACATTTTATAAGATAAAAACTATAAGCCTAAAACTACCTTCACCCTGTTTTGGGAATGCTTCTTAGGGGGGCTTCTTAGCCAAGAACCCCCAAATTGTTTGTCCGAATCTTCCGAAATCCGGGTCCAGATATATTTATTTTAACCAACAATGCACTGTATATTATCAATATGTGAACTAAATTTCAGAATGACCAATAATTTTAATGTAAAAATGCAAAAATATTCAAGAGCACAACTTTCTCGGTGTTTACTCCACTGGAAACAAAGGTAAAAATAGAACCGGTTATTGGCGGACGAGTCGATCAGCTGATGCGCGCACCAAAATGTGTTTCTCGTAAGGCTGTCGTTAATATAATTTGTACTCGTTAATAGAACTGAAAGTCCTTACAGGATGTAACTCTTTAACTGAAATCTCGTAAATTGGACTGCTTGTTAATGGGGGGTCCTCAGTACTGTACTACTGTACTTTTTGCAAATGATGTACTGTATATACTGTACTGTACTGTATTATATGTAATGAACGTTAAAGGCCAACAATGAAATTACTTGTCACAATATTTAAGGAATTAAAAATATAATGGGATTTCAGGGAACTTGTGTATAATTATAACATTAAAATTATGTTTGGAAAAACCAAGATGTTTAGGTATCCAAAGTCCAATTTTTTCCAGAATTCGACCACTGCTTGGTCATTGGTCCCAAGCAATTTGTTTTTTTTAGGTTTGACTGTACTCTATTCCTTAATTTTTTCTGTCCTTGTTTCCCCCTTTATCTCAATATAACCTTAAACTCTTCTTTGACAGTACTGTAATAGGAAACATTATGCCTAATTGTTTTTGTCTTTTCCTTTTCCAGTTAATTGCAGAAAAATGTGGAGGGAATTATGAACTTCTGGAAAATATCACTGATGGTTTGTTATCAAGACTGAATGACCGCTCAGTGCATGTTCGGCGCTTAGCTGTACGGGGTCTTGCCAATTTTGCTCAGCTGCAGAATGATCAAGTAAGTGTGCCAATTACATACAATAATACATGGTTTCACAAATATTAAAAAAAATCTGTACACTACAGTACTTGAAATGAGGTATTGTATTTGTTGTGGAGTAACTGTGGTGTGTTTGTGTGTCTGTTTATTTGTCTGTCTGTCTCAAGTGGATTTTACCCTTACCCTAACTGTGAAATTTGATTTTATTATAAAAATATACACTGTAGTCTTTCCCCTACTGCTGTACAGTAGAGCCTCAAGAGAGAAAAAGTTATGGTCTCATTTTATAGTGATTCGTTCTGTATCTTAGTAAAATTCTCATGGTAATTATAGGGATCCATTTCTTGCTCCATAAATTTTTACATTTGCCCCCCCCCCCCCAAAAAAATGTTTTAAAACTACTGTACTTGATGATCATCTTACACTTCTACAGCTTACAAAAGCAGGGCCGGATTCAGGAGTGGGCAAAGTGGGCAGCTGCCCAGGGGCCTCCACAATCTGGGGGCCTCCACATATTACAATACTGTATTGTATTTATTTGTTTATTCATTTGGATTATTTTTATTTTCATTCTTTAATATTCATGTTTATCTATTCCATCACATAAAACTATGTTCAGCAAGAAGCGTAATAGAAATTAGGCTAGCTACTCCTTGAAATTCATGAATACCTGATTTTCCTATGAGCCGTATATTTTTAATATTTTAAATATAACTACATATGGCTTCAAAATTCTCCAGGTCAGGTGGAGGTAGGGTGGGATTGGGTAGTCTGATGCAATGTCAGGTCACCCAGTGTCAGGGTGGGGGGATTAAAGGGTCTCATCACCTGAAGATGTCTTGAATAAAGACAAAAGGTAAGTTGTAAATATATTTATGGTTAGCAAAAAAGTTTATAAACTTTTATTCACAACATCTGCTCTATTTGTGTTAGATAAATTAATTTAGTACTGTACCATTGCGTATATAGTCATGTCACATAGTACGTGCACTTAACTTACACACTTTGGTTAAGGAAAAAAACAGTGAGTGTTGGAGTGTATGACTGAGGGAGATAACGGCATATAAGACACCTACCCCCCTCCCATTTCAGTTGGGAGTATTTAGGAAAAAACTTTTGTGTGTATTTTCCTCCTGTAGCCATAGTTTTCTTAAAATTATATATACAGTACCAGGAAATGTGAGGAATAAATAAAAAAAATACCAATAAATAAGTTACGATAAAAAATCCTGTATTGTACAGTAGAACGTCGATTTAAGGCAATTCAATTTAAGATTATTAATTTAAAAAGACACCCACAATTAAGGACAATGTTTTAATTTAAAATGAATATTTCCAATATTGCGTGAGTCAATCTGGCACATCATATTTTAAAATTCGCGCCTAATGTTTCTCTGGGCACGCTACACTTGTCCTAAGGGCAGTACTCAAAATAATGTACTAAATGATTACTAAAATTTTGTCTAGTGCAAACTATAGCATGATTATATTAAAATTAATCTCTATCTTATAAGAATTCCAGCGATGTAAATTATATTCTCCCCGGTCACTTTTGTGACATTTATAAACAAAAAACATAAACTCAATCTAAAGGACATAAATAAACAAATAAATACTTCACTAGACCTTCGGCACCAACTGTAAAACATGTCACTATCACCCCTCCCTCCCTCCCTCCCTCCCTCCCTCCCAGCCAGGGTTTGGTGGTTATACAGTAGGCTTTAAGTTTTTATCTTATATAATATCACAGACTAAAGTTAGGAGAATATAATTTGCATTGGTAGAATTAATGCAAGACAGCGAATGATTTGAATATAAACGTTATATAGTTTGCACAAAAGATAAAAATTTTTAGCCATTTGTAATTAGAACTAAAATTTGTATGTCTAATGCAAACTATAGCATGTTTATATTCAAATTAATCACTATCTTATAAAAATTCCAGCGATGTTAATTATATTCTTCCAGGTCAGTTTAGTGACATTTTATAAGAGAAAAACTTAGTCACTCCTAAGGACAGATAAATAAATAATTACTAGACCTTGGCATCAACTGTCAAACATATCACCTCACGTCTCCCCCCCCAATCTTCCCATCAGCTGATCGCTAGTAAACAGACCGTTTCATGTCCCATAAATTTTATGTGTGTTGATTTATGAGTGTTTGTTTTAACATAATACTACAAAAAAAAATGTTTTGTTTATTCTAGGAGATGGGCTGAGGTGCATCTGGGTAGACTCTCAGTCTTTTCAGTATTTTGTTTTTCTCTCGAGTACAGGAGCTCCCCTACTTACGGACATTCGAGTTACGAACTTTCAGAGATACGAACAAACTTGTCCTTATGCCGAATTGCACAATTGCCTGTTTGAAAACCGCGCTGAGTCGTAAGCTCAACCGCCGCGCAATAGATGGCGTTGGCTGTTTAGCGTCACCCTGTATCCCTAGCACCATTGTTGTTGTTGTGTTCCTCTGCTGCCTCATGGTGTTATTTGTGGTTTTGACGAATATTATTGACCCCAACATGTCTCAGAAGCGTAAGAGTGATGCCAGAGGTGCTGGTGGTAGTAAGAAGCGTCGCACTATTACGTTGAAAACTAAGGTGGACATTATAAAGCGTTGTGAAAGAGGTGAGAAAATGATAAGCATAGCTAATGCTCTTGGGATGAATCGTTTGACTGTTGGGACAATTTTTGAAGGACAAAGAACGCATTATGCAACATGTAAAAGATTCTGTGCCAATGCATTCCACGATCATTAGTAAGAAAAGAGGCTCAGTGATTGCAGAGATGGAAAAACTTTTGAGTGTGTGGCTGGAAGACCAGCATCAGCACCGCATGCCTATAAGCCTTAACTTAATTCAGCGGAAGGCCATAAGCCTCTTTGAAAACGTAAAGGCTAAATATGGTGAGAGTGATGCTGAAGAAACATTTACTGCTCGACATGGTTGGTTCCACAGGTTTAAGGCTCGTTCAAACCTGCACAACATAAGAGTGAGTGGTGAGGCTGCCAGTGCTGACATGGTAGCAGCCAGGGAGTTTCCTAAGCTTTTGTCGGAAATTATTGATGAGGGGGGGTTACCTACCAGAGCAGGTGTTTAATGTGGATGAGACCGGTTTATACTGGAAGAAAATGCCTGATCGTACATACATCGCCAAAGAAGAGAAGACTATGCCTGGTTTTAAGGCATCGAAGGATAGACTTACTAATCATCTATCCTATATCTAACTCCAATGCTTTAAAAGCATTTTTAACCTTGGGCCACTGACAAATAATTTGTGTAACATATTATCAGTGTTGTACTGACCATCACTAAGATTTATAGAATTTAATTCCCTAATCAAACTAGCTTCAATCAGAAGTCTTTATGTGACACATGATAATTTGTGCATTTTTAAGCTGTTTTCCAATCCATAGGATGATTATTTTTCCTAACATGAACGAACAGTGCACTGCTTTCAGATGCTTTTAAAGCATTGTAGTTAGATGTAGGATAGATGATTAGTGGGTCCCATATTTTTTTCCTGACTTAACTTGACTAGTCACGTCTCCCTTTCTTTTAAGCTCCTCTGCGTGTATGGTGGTGTTGGTGTTTGGATTAGTGGATGTCATGTTTATGACCTGACCTCATGTTTAGTAAGGTCACCCTGTGTACTTAAGCCTCTCTCTGTCCATGTAATTCAGTTGCCTCTGAAGATGTCTTGAATAAAGACAAAAGCTAAGGTGCTCCATTGTCTCCCTTTTCCCTGTGTGATTTTATCAAGATATATATATATATATATATATATATATATATATATATATACCCCGATTTACGCGGTCAATTGAACCCGGGAGTAGCGTGTAAAACGAGAAACGCGTAAATGGAATAACAGAACATATGGGATTAATTGAAATAGAGACTGGGCCGACTCCCAAACTCCACTTTTTCCTACATAATACCTATGTTATAGTAAAAATAACATCTTAATTTTATGATGGTATGCACACACAATTAATATTTAAGAGAAATACAGTCGCCAGGTTAATGTCCATTCAAATAATGGACTCAACGCTCGCTGGCTCCTCCCTCTCTGAGAAATGTTTGGGTGAAAACACTAGATTTTAAGGTATAGTAATAAATAATACCTCAGACTAAAGTTAGGATAATATAATTGACATTGCTGGATTCCTTGCAAGGCTGGGAATATTTTGAATATAAACATCATATATTTTGCACAAAAGATAAAATTTTGGCTTTGTAATCAAAATTCTTAAATTAGATCTAAAATTTGTATGTCTAATGCAAATTCCATGATGTTTATATTTAAGAATAATCAAAATCTTATAAGAATTCCAGCAATGTATATTATATATATATATATATATATATATATATATATATATATATATATATATATATATATATATATATATATATATATATATATATATATATATATATATATATATATATATATATATATATATATATATATATATATATATATATACATACAGTCATGCGCCGGTTAACATCCTAGATGCGTTCTTGGAAACGTGACGTTAACCGAAATGGACGTTGTCCGATCATCACATAACTTTGTCTTTATACTTATGTGTATGTGGAATACTATACTATATGTACATATACACTCCTACTCTTAAATCACTACTGTAATGTGATACAAGTGATTAATTTTTATCTCTTGTGTAAAATACACGACGTTTATATTAAAATTATTCATTGTCTTACAAGGATTCCAGTAATGCTGGGCAGATGGGGGAGAGGGAGGGAGGGAGCGAGCAAGCGTGGGGGGGAGGGGAGCAGGAGGTGAGGTGGTACGTTGGACAGTTGGCACCGGCCCAAGGTCTAACGCGTGTTTATTTATCAGTCCTAAAGTGACTAAGCTTCTCTCTTATAAAAAACCAGTGAAATGACCTGGGTGAATGTAATTTACATTGCTGGGATTCTTGTAAGATAGTGATTAATTTGAATATAAACATGCTATAATTTGCACTAGACAAAACAATTTTAGTAC